CTTAAAGTTGATTAAGGTTGAAAAACCCTGGTATAGAGTATCGGGGGGTGATACAAGCCACCTCACCAGTTTACCTTTTGCTAAATATATCTCTCCAATAGGTCGTGCCCAAGAGATTCCCTTTTGCAGAGATTTTGCGAGAGCGCCTCGGCCCCAGTGAAAGCGTTCCAAATGCTCGTTGGCCCGCAAAGGCCGGGGGCCGCTGCGTTGAAAGATAACAAAAGCGTGCAGGATGTTTCAGAGCGGTCATGTAAATGCTCCGTAAAGACTCTTTACTTCTGCCTTGAATTCAGATAGAAGACGATTGTCCAAGCGGCCCTGGGTGGCCGCCAAAAGCCTGATTTATGCAGGGAAGAAGATAATCTGTTCCCAGCAAATGCTTTCGTGGAGGTTTATCTAACGGCGCTGCCGGAGGACCAGCATCAGGGCCTTCTCTCTTTTGAAAGGCAGTTTGCTAGAGGTTGGAAGCCGCAGTTCAGCTGACGTGGCCTTATCAAGTCTGCTCTTCCAGTTCTCAGCTGCAACAAATGCCTCTTTGTAACAAGATCAAACGCCAGATCAAGTTCTTAATCCGTTCCCCGCAGCGTAGCATCGCAGGAATCCATTCCAAGCATTTTTTTTTTTTTAAATGTTGCTCCGAAGGCCATATTACAAACAAAAGGAAAATGTCGATTTCTGTAATTTGGTAACTCGGTTTTCATTTCCCTCCCAGCTTGACCCCAAAGTTAAAGAAGCTCTTTTGAACAATGGCTTCCCCCGAGTTTTCGTTGCTCTGCGGATCTGGTAAAAATTGACAGCTCAGGAAAATTCAAATTATGGGTTAGGTAATTCTGTTAAAACTGTTCTTGCTGCAAGTCCTGTTGCAAAGGTTTATCTCCGTTGAATCCCTAGTTTATAACGGTGGCCTGAGATAAAGAAAGCAAGTAGCCTCATAAAAGCATGGAAATGCAAAGATGGGGCTCCCAAAGAACATCTAGTCCAACCCTCTGAATGTACAGGGAAAAATCTTCTAGAGGGGGCTACCCAGACTCTTCTTAAAAACCTTCAGAGACGGGGAGCCCTCTGAAACTATCGTCCCAATTTACTTCTTTACGTTTAAGTGAAAAGTAGACAGCCAAGAACTTTTGCTTCGGAATTTAACTCTGATGTTAAGATTCCAAAACATGAAACGTCTCTTGGAGAGGCACAGTCTTTAAGCCTTCTGAATGGCTTGCGGTTTAAAAGAGACAAAAGGGAAATTAAAAGAAATATCGGGGGGGTGGGAGGAAAGATCCGAAAGCTCTAAATATATACATCGCAGTAGGGAAAGCCTGCGAACTTTGGATTTTCTTAAGAAAAAACATTTCCATCTCTCGAATAAGGGGTGGACGGAAATACACCTATCCGTCGATTGCATTTTCTGCGAGATCGATGCCTTGACCCGCCCCGGCCCCAGTTTTGGATACCGGGCAAAGGGGGTCAGTGTCACACCTGCCCTCATCAAAACTCATACGGGGCTGGCGACGCTCTTGCGGTCGCCTCTCGATGGTGCCCGGTGCCCCTCCGGCCGCTGCCTTCTCCGTGGCCGGAAGTGGGCGGGCCGAAGCGTTTGTTGTGGTGGGATCCCCTTCCGCCGCGGCAGCGAGGCCGGGGGCGAGAGAGCCGAGGTTGGCGTGCCCGGGGGAGCGGAGGGCGGGCTGGGGCGCCGCTGCTCGGAAGGGCCCCCCGACTTCCCCCGGGTAAAGCGGGCGTCCCTGGCCCCGGGTTCAAACGGGAGGGGGGCCGGAGTTGAAGGGGGTCGGAGGCTGCCAGGCAAGCGCAGCCTACCTCGCCAAGTTGTTGTGAGGGCGAAAGGCTGAGGAAGGAGAGGCCCGCTCTCATCGTCCGGGGAGAAGCGAACGGGCGGGCTGGGTTCACACACACCGCCCACCCGGAACGGGTTTGGGGGGTGTGGTGCGAATCCAGGCCCGGGGAGCCCACGAGCCCCTGCTTGGCCGGACCCGGGGCGCGTGGCCGGGCTGGCTTGGCCCCCCACGCCCACGGGGGCCGGCCTGCTGCTCAGGAGGGTCTCAGACAGTGCATCAGGAGCCGTTGTCCCAGGGTCGCTAATAGACATGCCAAACACGCCTGGCATTTGGGGACATTTCGATGTCCGAGAAGGCTGAACGGGGGTCGATGCGACCGTCTGGATGGAGGTCGCTGCGGGTCCAGGAGGAAAGTTGGAGCGATACTTTGGAACGGGGCCCGTGGCAACGTGGTGTATTTTTTTTTTTTTAATCCCGTGAGATTAGATAAAAAGGCAGCTATGCTCCTTCTTGGTACGCCGTGCAGATTGGCATCACATTGTGTCTTGTTTTCTTTGTGGGTCCTGCATTCCTTTAAAAAAGAAGAAGAGATCCTAGCCACTCATGCAGGCTTTTATTTACCGTGTGTACTTGCAGATAAGCCGAGAATTTTAGGTTCTGAAATACACCCCCAAAATGGGGTTTGGCTTATCCATGGATGGGCTTATCCATGAATATGTACGGTAGTTTTTAAACAGCATAGGTGGGTCTCGATTAGTGTGGTTATTGAACCCCACAGAATGGTCGTATTATTTGAATTCATGTTGTTCAGAGTGATATTTCTATTGAGAACAGGGTAATTCTTGGAAATAGGCAATGAGCATTTTTAAACATAAATCTGTATATGTTTATGTAAGTAAGTAATCTTTATTGTCATTGTACTTCTTGTACAACGAAATTAAATGCCACCCCAGTGCAGCTTTAAAAATATAAATTATACACATTATTAATGAAATATAACAGTAAAAGATAAAAATAATATACTTACAACTTAAATTTATTTTTAACAAGGCTGCAGCATTAAACTTGTACTGTTTTCCTCTGGTGGAATCTTCCTTTTCTCCATTTTGCACACATGAAAATTAGCAGTGTGTAAAACTGCAACCGTGCATCCGCTAACCTCACATTAACTGAATTTTGGGTCGCACTAAACGTGAACTGGTATCAATTTACAATTCACACTAAATCGAATATTGTGACCCACCTGCATAGCCATTGAAAAATAGCGTATGTAGTTTTCACATGTGGAACTCATTGTTTTGTTTAGGAAAGCCCTTATAAATTGAACAGATAAATAAGCTTTAAAAATATTTTTTGTTGTTGAATGCGGACACAAACTTGTTATATTGTTAGGCAATTCCGCATTGGTCCTCAATGCCATTTTTCTGCTCAGGCAAAGGAGATTGAGCCAGACGTGCTGGCATCTGTCGGAGACGCCTTAATCTGAATTCCTACCCTGGGCAGAGAGTTGAACCTGATCAAGTAAATGGCCCTTTCCTGCTCTGCAGTTCAATAACTTCTCAGTCACAGCTCTTTCCAGAGAGCCTGGCTTACATCATTTCAGCCCAAAACAAAGTCCCCCCCCCCCCTTATCTGGACTTTTAAAGCTGTAGCACTCCATATTTATTTTAAGCTGTTATTCTGCATTTATCTTGGTGGCTTCGGTTTTCTAAGTCTTTTTTACTTATTATAAAATAAGTCTTTTATAAGACTGATAAGACTTTTATAAGTATTTTATAAGACTGATAAAATAAGACTATTTTATAAGTATGTGTGATTTATTTTTATCTGTATCAGCTGGTCAGAGAGCAACATGGACCTGGATTAACTAAAATGCCTTCTTCCAGGCTGTCCCCATGAGTTCTCCTGTGGAGGATGCCCATGATCCTCTTTGCCTGCGTGGTGCGGGTAAGGGATGGACTTCCGCTCTCGGCTTCCAGCGACTTCCACCTAGACCAGGGTTTCTTGGAATGCAGGAAGAGACTCAAGGTCCTGTCCTCCATACTGACACGATACCCGGAACGTGGCACAGCAAAAGAACGTGACCTCAGCATACAGTAAGTCATGCTAGAGCTTGAGACCCAAATTGGCTTGTCCTCTTTTATTTATTTATTATATGGAATGTTTTTCTGCCACTTCAGCCATTTGACTTGACTCTGTCCGGCTTGCAAGCAGCAAACAAATGCAGATAATCCAGTGCTCAAAAAGTTACCGTTCATCAAACAATAAAAACACAATCTGCAGATATAAAACCATTGCACTATCTTGCATCTGACAATAGAAATTCATGTTCTATTGTCATGATGCTCAGGGGCTTCTGCTTGCTCCTGCTTCAGACTCCAGATGGGTACTGAAAAAGTCATGTTTTTAAAACCTTCCTGAATATTCAAAGGGAAAATGGGACTCTTAGACCTGGTGGGAGCTCCTGCAGAAAATGCTTGCTTGTTTCCCAAACAAAAAAAGAGTGAGAAAGAAGCAAAACGGATACTTCGGAGAGAATGGAATTTCCTACTTGTTTCTGGATTCAGGCCTACCCCCTTACAGCGCCCAACAAATTACTGCTAAGAGCTGTCCATATTTTTATAAGGCTCCCCTTGTACCAGCCCCATCACTCATATCTCCTCTAGAATCATCTTTTCATAAGACTAGGGCAGATGTTGTTGTCGCTGTTGTTTTCAAAACATCCAAAATAATTTCTTGAGAGGATAACAGGTGAGTGCTTTCTGTAGGAGCTCCTATTTATGCACCAATCAGTAAATAAAATGTTGTTCCGCATCGCACTCTTTGTGGTTAATCCTAGATATTTTCCTTCTCAGCTTCCACACTTCTGGGGACGTCGCCTGCACCTGCATCGCCGTCAGCAGTTATCCAGCAGTCATGGCATTCTGCTTTTTGGAAGAGCTCCGGTGCAAATTTGCCATGTCCTACAATGCTACCAGTGTGAGTCTGGCTTCCAGGCCGTATGCTTTCCTTGAATTTGGTATGTAGTTCGTTTGTTTTTATGTCTTTGTCTTCCTGTGGAAAATTTAGCAAGTCATTGCTGTGTTGAGAACTGTCAGTGATATTATTCTTTACAATTTCTAAAATACCACAATAGTCCTAATTATCACTTTTAATCTGCTGTTAAGGAAGGATAGAAATAGGTATCTTGACCAAGCCGTTAAACAATCTTATTTGTGAGAACTGATTTCATTGATTTGGTCTATTTGAGGCACTGGATAGTTAATTTAAAATATCCCCCATTTTTGTCCTTGCACAAAGTTGAGGTGGACTGTTTGCTTGAGGCAACGTGAAGCAATTTTTAGCTTTAGGGAAGTGACCCTGTGTGTCTCTCCACATTCCAAGCAAGGCATTTGTCCCTCTGGAATGTCTAATAAACATTTCAGAGCTCAAGCAGCCTATTCTGATTTTATATTTCCAACGATGTCACTTTTGTTTCTTTTTGTGTGTGGAAAACATGCAAATGCTATCTTACAAAAAAGAGATTTAAACTAAAAAGTACCAATATTTTACTGTATCCTTGCAAATCTATGATGTGGCTGCATTCAAAATATTTTATATTTTTTTGGACTTCCCTTGGACATGGCACGGGGAGTTATGGCTGCAATATGCCCATATAAGACCTCTCCTCTGTGAACTGCGCTGTCTACCAGTTAGATTTCAAATGCAGTTCAGGGTTCTGGTTACCACCTGTAAAGCCCTTCATCGCAAAGGGCCTGGCTATGTACGGGGCCATCTGTCTTCTGTAGCAACTGCCTGTTCTGTATGATCAGATAGAATTGGCATGCTCCCATTGATTAAACCTTGTCATCTGATGGGACCCAGGAAGCGAGCCTTCTCTGTTGCAGCACCTGCCCTCTAGAACAGCATTCCCCACCAAGATTTGCATTGCCCTTAGACAAGGCTCCTTAAAACCTGGCTCTTTCCCAGGCCTTGGGTCAGGTTGGGTGGCAGGCCCATGGTGGGCATCCTGTATGTTGAGGGGGTATTCGTTTTAGTCTTTCTAAAGGTCCACTAGTTTCATTATGCATCGTTGTTTCATTTGCTTTTAAAAATGCATGGCACCCAGCAGTGCCACGGAGTTGGGAAGCCTTATGGATCTGATACATAAATAAATGAAATAGAGCTGGAACTAAGGGCAGCCAAAAGCATCTGGGGATTGCAATATTCAGGGCTACTTAATTTATTTAAAGATAAGTGAGGATACTGTATAACATCTGCAACATTCAGGAAAGCCGATGAAAGTGTCCTTGACAGTTGGCTGTTCAGCCTCTTCCTTAAAAGCTGCCAGAGGTGGAGAACTTTTAATCTCCATAGATA